AAAATGTGTCGTTAACACATCACAACCCGACACAGCCAATTAGTAAAGGTTTGTCGTGACAATTAGTGATCAGCACCACCGGTTGTGTGACATTTCGCTGGTGATTACAACAACAACAATCAGTTTCATCAGGCAGATTTGTCAGAATTGGCGATTCCCCAAGCATCACCGACGATTGGAGGGATTATTTTTCCCCGAATTTTTTATTATTATCAATCCAATGCTGGATGAAGGTCTCCCGAAAGCCCTTGCATCATATTTTCACCACCCCCTTACTTTGTAGACCCCTTTCAAGTCAAATCAACGCATTTGGGAAAACGGTGTCACTGTGTAAACTGTGAGTGAATAATCAGTATATCAAGCGTTCGCCTGCATTGTATAATAACAATAATAATGGCATTTGACCAGGAAAGCCTCACCGAATTTCAAGGCTGCTTTTTGTATTTACCTTCCAGAGTGCCCTGTTCTACGGGGTGGTCTAAATGTCTTGTGGCTCCCGCCCCCTGCCCCCCACCATTTAAATATCTAAAACTTTATTTTAAAAAATAAAAGTGAGGCTTATTTACAACAAAAAATGATTATGTTGAAGTAAAACAAAAAATGTTATGGATCAACTAATTGGGGCGTCACAAGACATCTGGACCAGCCTGTTGTACATCGGTTGGATGTTTGGCCAAACTCCCAGGATATGAGAGCGTTCAGGCGGGGCGCCCAAAACTACTTCACCAGTTGGACTGGGACTGCTTCGCACTCGCCAGGTTTCCGTTCCGCCGGCAACTCGCGCTGCGGCTCATCCGGACGTTTGGGTGGCACCGCCGATTTGCCCCACAAGCCCTCGACAGGAAAAAAGGGGGAAATGAGACGAGATGAAGGATAAGCCACTCCTCCGATAACCACGACCGATTACCGGGGCCTTGAGGAGAGCCTTCTTGCGGCACGATGATAACCATCTCATTACCATCGCGCAAACTCCGGCCATCCTCGCGGCGGCGGCGGCGGCGGTGGCGGCTGTTGGCCGGCCGCCGAGCGAAGACGGCGCCCGGTGCCATCGCGCGGCGCTTTCGGGCGTGCGCTTCTGCCGCTCTCCGGAACGCTCTTCCTTACCGGCTTTTTGGAAGCCGGTGGAGCTGCGCGCTTTGAAATTATTTTGAAGATTGAAAACGCACGTACATATCCGGTTGGGTACAGGGGGCTCAAGCAGGGCTAGCCTTTTCGGTGAGTTTCAATCGGACGCCGCGAATTAAGTGATTCGTCCAATGTTTTTTTTTTTGCGATCATAAGCGTCATGAGTTCTTCGTCATCACGATCCATGGGGCCAAGATAGCCCGTGGGTGCCCACTGAACATTTCGTCATTTGTTTCCACTGTCCTCTCTCTTGTCTTGCCCCAACACGCTCAAGCGGTGCCACATCGTGCTGGCACCAATCTCTTGTGTCGCTGTTCTCCGGTCTTCCTCTCTTTTTCCGGTTCCATCCATTTTTCCGGACAGCACACTTTAAACTTTCCTGTTATCCATTCTACATACATCCATTTTAAAAGCCCGCAATTCCGTTTGTCCATCAACTAAATTATAAAAGCCGTTCAGAAGGCCTGAATCAAAAAGTTGAAAGAAGTGGACCTCCACCCCCCCACCCCCCCAAGATGTGGGGGTAAAAAGTTGATAAAACAGGTTTACAACAATTGTCGACCCACGCAAAATATTAATGTGTTTTTTAAACACACCCCACTTAAAAGTCAGTAGTGTCTACTATCTACTGACTATATATACCTACACACCCCACATACAATAGTAAGTAGTGTCTACTATTTACTGACTCTATATACACCTACTCACCCCACATACAATAGTCAGTAGTATCTACTACCTACTGACTCTATATACACCTACACACCCCACATACAATAGTAAGTAGTATCTACTATCTACTGACTATATATACACCTACACATCCCACATACAATAGTCAGTAGTGTCTACTATCTACTGACTATATATACACCTACACACCCCACATACAATAGTAAGTAGTATCTACTATCTACTGACTATATATACACCTACACATCCCACATACAATAGTCAGTAGTGTCTACTATCTACTGACTATATATACACCTACACACCCCACATACAATAGTCAGTAGTGTCTACTATCTACTGACTATATATACACCTACACATCCCACATACAATAGTCAGTAGTGTCTACTATCTACTGACTCTATGTACACCTACACACCCCACATACAATAGTCAGTAGTGTCTACTATCTACTGACTATATACACCTACACACCCCACATACAATAGTCAGTAGTATCTACTATCTACTGACTATATACACACCTACACACCCCACATACAATAGTCAGTAGTGTCTACTATCTACTGACTATATACACCTACACACCCCACATACAATAGTCAGTAGTGTCTACTATCTACTGACTATATATACACCTACACATCCCACATACAATAGTCAGTAGTGTCTACTATCTACTGACTCTATGTACACCTACACACCCCACATACAATAGTCAGTAGTGTCTACTATCTACTGACTATATATACACCTACACACCCCACATACAATAGTCAGTAGTCTACTATCTACTGACTATATACACACCTACACACCCCACATACAATAGTCAGTAGTGTCTACTATCTACTGACTATATACACCTACACACCCCACATACAATAGTCAGCACTATCTAGTAGTATCTACTACTGACACTACAATAGATACTACTGACTCTACAATAGAGTCAGTAGTATCTACTGACTCTATTGTAGTATCTGCACACAATGCGGTCGAGGTGGGGGAATAAGAGGACATGTGGCGCAAAGCGCCAAGAAGCCCCCTACGATGGAGATAGAAGAAGGTGGCCAGAGGCTGTCGAATTACCGTGTCCACATCGGCATCACTGCCGGCATCATCAGGTCCTCTTGTCCGTGCAAACCTTTTCTTCCTTCTACGTTGGTCACCCTTTGGATCCATTTCAGTTCAGCTGTGGGTAATCAACGTTTACGTTTACAGGGGTCTTTATGTTTTTCGTGTAAGCAGGTGAGAACTCGCAGAGACCGGGATATAGTCTCGTTGGCGATTGCGGCTGACTGACCCTGGTGCAGCAAAATGACAAAAGCGACAAAGTATAAGAGCAATGTGCAACAATTAAGGGGATAGACATCGGGGCACAAACATCTGCAATACGGATGAAAACGCGCACGCAAGTGAAGTTATCGTTTTCAAAATTGCTTCGAGAAAGCGTCGCAGGAATGAAACTGAATTGTGGAACTATGAGCGTGCGTTGAGAGTGCTGATTGCACTCGTCTGAAGACGACAAGGATTTATATTCGTGAGCGGTTTGGTTGGAATGGGTGTGTGTCGCATGGCAGTGCAAAGTTATGAAGACGAGGTACTGTGTGTGTGTGTGCAATACCTTCATATTTAAACTAAAAACTATTAAAACGTTTGTTTATATTTTACCAGGTAAGGCCCACTTGAGCTACATAGCTCTTTTTCAGAAGTCACCTGGCCACAAATGATAGCTCAACGAAATAGTAAAGTGGCTCATGTGGAAATGTATAGCAGTAGTCAAATACTCACGGTTCTAAGTGGTTCTACATGTGGAGGGAAAAACCGGAGGCCCCGGAGAAAAAAAATCCATGCAACCACATGGATAGAGACACGCAAACTCCAAATATACAGCAGCGGACGTCAGGGTGGGGATCGAACCCACGACCTTCTGTGTAACAGGCGAGGTAGTTAACATCTCCTAGCCACCTTGATGATGATGAGAGAGAGAGAGACGCAAACTCCAAATATACAGCAGCAGGCGTCTGGGTGGGGATCGAACCCACGACCTCCTGCATCCCAGGCGAGGTAGTTAATATCTCATAATTTGGAGCAGTGTCACCCCCTACTGGCAGACTATATAAGTGTCTGAAACAGTGGCATCGCGATAGCCCTTTGCTGTAACGGCACAAATACGAAATTAACTGAATCATTGTGGGGCAAATACAGGCAACGGGAGCAGTGGCCGTTGCCTCTGTGGGCGTTGCTAGTGGCCGGGTGGGCGTGGCTACGTAACAATTGGGCGTGGCTGTTGGAGGCCATTGTTGTCCTTTTCCCGTATCTCCGGTCAGCATGGTTGGCTACATATGGTGCAAAAGAAATTCAACATTCTGTACACTCCACGACTATATACTTCACTACTACACAATACACTACACTAAATTTAAAACCCATTTCTTTAGAACTGCTTTTTGTGTTTAGTTTGTTGTCCTTCCGCACCTCCAATTAGCACGGTTGGCTACGTACGGTGCAATAGAAGTTCAACACATTGGCAGTCATCGACTTACAAACACAATTAATTCCTGATAGCCGTTTGTAAGTCGGAACATAGCAATGCACTGTTTTTAAATGCCCATACGGTTGGTGTGAGAAGCATTGTTAAACTCACGACTTAGAAGAAATATTGTACATTTGCATGGTTTGTAAGCGGAGGTGTTCGTAAGTCGGGTGTTCGTAAGTCGGGTGTTCGTAAGTGTAGATGTTCTTAAGTCGGGTGTTCACAAATCGGGTGTTCATAAGTCGGGTGTTCGTAAGTCGGGTGTTCGCAAGTGTAGATGCACTTAAGTCGGGTGTTCATAAGTCGGGTGTTCATAAGTCGGGTGTTCATAAGTCGGGTGTTCATAAGTCGGGTGTTCGTAAGTCGGGTGTTCGCAAGTGTAGATGCACTTAAGTCGGGTGTTCACAAGTCGGGTGTTCATAAGTGCAGGTGTTCGTAAGTTGGGTGTTTTTAAGTGTAGATGTTCGTAAGTCGGGTGTTCGTAAGTCGATGACTGCTTGCACGTATACACACGCACATAGTCTGGCAGCCCTCAGCGTGCGCCGGTTGAGCCCCCCAGAAATTTCGGCAGCTTCATCGCCCCCCCTACCCCCCCACTCTCCCCCTTCTCGGTTCCCCCCCCTACCTCCCCCACCGCCAGATGTCATGGCGCCCCCAATACCGCAGCTCCAAGTTCCGGCACGTGTTCGGCCGTCCGGCCAAGCATTGCTACGACAGCGTGCCCATCACGCGCAGCGTGCACGACAACCACTTCTGCGCCGTCAACCCCCGCTTCCTCGCCGTGGTGACCGAGTGCGCCGGCGGCGGCGCCTTCCTGGTGCTGCCGCTCCAGCAGGTGGGTCACTCGCGCCCGGCGCCTACGTCGCCCGCCATCGCCGGCACCGGCGATGGCACTGCTCTGCCGTCACCGACGTCACCGTCGTCGTCACGATCACCGTCGTTGCTCTGCCGTCACCGACGTCATCGTCGCCGGCACGATCACCGTCGTTGCTCGACCATCGGCGTCGTCGTCACGATCACTGTCATTGTTCTACCATCAGCATCGTCGTCACTATCACTGTCATTGTTCTACCATCACCGTCGTTGTAACGATCACTGTCATTGTTCTACCATCACCATCGTCGTCACGATCACTGTCATTGTTCTACCATCACCGTCGTTGTAACGATCACTGTCATTGTTCTACCATCACCGTCGTCGTCACGATCACTGTCATTGTTCTACCATCACCGTCGTCGTCACGATCACTGTCATTGTTCTACCATCACCGTCGTCGTCACGATCACTGTCATTGTTCTACCATCACCGTCGTTGTAACGATCACTGTCATTGTTCTACCATCACCGTCATCGTCACGATCACTGTCATTGTTCTACCATCACCGTCGTCGTCACGATCACTGTCATTATTCTACCATCACCGTCGTCGTCACGATCACTGTCATTGTTCTACCATCACCGTCGTCGTCACGATCACTGTCATTGTTCTACCATCACCGTCGTCATCACGATCACTGTCATTGTTCTACCATCACCGTCGTCGTCACGATCACTGTCATTGTTCTACCATCACCATCGTCGTCACGATCACTGTCATTGTTCTACCATCACCGTCGTCGTCACGATCACTGTCATTGTTCTACCAACATTATTGTCGTCATCATCATCGTCACGATCACTGTCATTGCTCTATCGTCATCATCATCGCCATCATCACCACCATGACCCATCACAATCATCGTCGCTGCCACCATCACCGTCACATCACCACCTCCGCAATAGCTGTCATCAGACTCAGAATATATATATTCATACTGGAGGAATCCGATGAGCTATAAAGCTCTTCAGCACAGAAGTTCAGTAGGGACAGGTCAGAACGTTACAACAACAAACAATACAAAAACACGGGTAGGAGCACAAAGTAAAGGAAATGTAATTGCAATCATTCTAGGTGCCCTGGTGGCCTGTTACACAGGAGCCCATGGGTTCGATCCCGGCCCTGACAACGCCGCCTGTATATATGGAGCTTGCGCGTCTCTCTCGCTGTCCCCGCGTGGATTTTTCTCCCGAGTCCTCCGGCTTTTCCCTCCACATTTAGAATCAACGTCGCGCGTTTAGAGTAAATGGCTGCTCTACATTTCCACGTGACAAGCCGCTTCGTTGAGCGATCATTTGTCATCGCCAGGTCGCTTCCGAAAAAGAGCTTCATAGCTCAGCGGGGCCTTACCTGGTGAAATAAAAACACTTTAAATAGTTTAATGATTTAGTTCAGCACATCTGGCTCAACCAGCTCGGTGCAAAATGACAGCTGCTGCTCTTCGCCAACAGTCAGCCGCACGAAGGGGGAGACTGCAATAGCACAACAAGTTGGGTAAAATACTTAACACAAACAAAAAGAGAAACAACAGTGACAACACTGGAGCGCGCACGAAAGTCACTTGGAAGTACGTTCCATCGCACCCCCCGCTCATTAACCAAGCCACACAGCCCCTGGACATGTGGGCCCGCGAGTGGTAGAATAAAAAAAAGTCAAAAAAATATCTGCCAAAAAATCATCCCCTTCCCCCGCTCATTACCATACGTGGATGGGGCGGTAGACTCTTCACCCTCCTCCCCGTTTGACTGTTACCCCCCCTGAATGGATCGATCGTGATGGGTCTGCGCACCTCCTGGGTGTCTTTGCCTGGTTGATTTTGTTTTGTGTTTTTTTCGCACATCGTCACGGCCTTAAGTATTCAACGAAAACCTTGAAAAATAGAATAGTTTAGTCTTTTTAAACAGCTGAGTTCATTCTCACGAGCGGTTTGTTGTCATGGTCGTCTTTGTCGCGTGTGTGTGTGTGTGTGGTGTGCCCAGACGGGCAAGGTGGACCCGCACTACCCGCGCGTGTGCGGGCACCAGGCCATCGTGCTGGACATCAAGTGGAGCCCCTTCAACGACTTCATCATCGCCTCGGCCTCTGACGACGCCACGGTGAGCGGCGTGCAAAAAATCCTCGTTGCTGACGACAAAAAAAATACACAAAGACACAAAAACACAAGCAACACATGCACCAGCTCGGACACGTTCGTCGATAGCAGCGCTGCGCGTCGCCTTAAAAGGAGAAAAAACCCCGCAAAAAATGACATCATAGGCGACGTTTTTGTCGTGTTGGGCAATGGCCCTTCGTGGTAGCAACAATAAAGTCAACTTGTAACGGGCGCAAGGTGTTCACTCCTCGCTCACGGTTGTGGGCCGCATTCACGTACGTCCTCACGCGCGGTGTTGTTGTTGAGCCAACCTGTAGCTCGGCGTTCTTCTTCATTGCAAGGCCACCGTGAGGCCACTGACGGCCCCTGGTGGCCTTTAGCACGGCCCCTGACGTGCGTCCCCCCACCCCCCCTACGTCAATGCACAAAAAGTCAAAAACACCCCCCCCCATCGTCATCATCGTGCTGCTGTCACAAACCAAACAATGGTTTAAAATAATGTGTGTCGGCCCCGCACGCCGCTGTAGTTTGTGATTGTTCACTGCGCTAATATGCCACCGCCAACGCAAGCACCAGCAGCGGCGGCGGCGGCGGAATCGCCAACAACATTCGTTTAAATCTTCGTCTTCTTCTCGACGCTCACCTCGTTCGCGACACGGATGCATACCCACGCAGGCTCGCTGTCGCCGGCGTCCGCTGATTGAAATCTCCACGCCAGCCGGACGCCTGCGATCGGTCGGAACGTCCGGCGAACGCGTTCCCTCGTGAACCGGTGATTCACAGTCGGCGTTTTGGCGTCGGGCCGCGGGAACGATCCGGGGGCATTTTTGTTTGCTATCGTGAAACCCTCGCCCCGCCATCACCACCAGCCGCCACTGCCACCGCCGCTGCTTAACCCGACAAACCGCTAAGCAACCTACACAGGAACTATCATTCATGTGAGTGTTACCGTGGTGTGATGCTCACACGCACATGACCGTGGTGTGACGCTCTAGCGTGACCACGGTGTGACGCTAAGGTGTGTGACCACGGTGTGACGCTCACACGCACGTGCTCGTGGTGTGACACTCACGCACGTGACCACGGTGTGACACTCACGCACGTGACCACGGTGTGACACTCACGCGCGTGACCACGGTGTGACGTTAAGCTGTGTGACCGCGGTGTGACGCTAAGGTGTGTGACCACGTTGTGACGCTCACACGCACGTGCCCGTGGCGTGACACTCACGCACGTGACCGCGGTGTGACGCTAAGGTGTGTGACCACGGTGTGACGCTAAGGTGCGTGACGGCTCTGTAACATTCAAGGGCGCTGGCTTGCCCTGTTCCTGCACAAACACCCTTGGACCGTGCGCACACCTGCACCGTACACGTTGTGTATTTTATGATTGCTTGTGCGCGGCGACATTACGCGTCAACGCCGCGCCACCTGACACCCCGGGATAAACGAGGCGGTTCCATCTCAAGGGATTCGTCGAGGTGGAATATTTTAACAACTGAAATCAATGATGCTAGTTTCACTCCCGGCCGCCGGTGCGGAAAGCTACTGAGCTCGATTTGTTTGCGAACAACTCTAGCTCATCTTCTGGGTTCTTTCGGTAAAGTCACCACGTAGAATGGAAATAAAATAATAAAAATGAAACATAATAAAAACAATAAAATACAATTCTCACGACGTTTCGGCCTCAACACAAGTAGCCTTCTTCAGGTGAAGAAACAGGTCTGTCCAGAAGACAGCGCTTGGACAGACCTGTTTCTTCACCTGAAGAAGGCTACTTGTGTTGTGGCCGAAACGTCGTGAGAATTTTCTTTTATTATGTTTTATTTTTATTATTTTATTTCCATTCTACGTAGTGACTTTACCGAAAGAACCATGAAGATGAATCCCTGCAGTCACGAAAGCTTTAAATCGAAATTTAACTCTAGCTCACGTAAATCCATCTCCAGTCGTGATGGGAACCCCCCCGGGAATGTCTATCTGCGATGGGGGCAACAACAACAAAAACAGGCGAAAAAATAAATCAGCACCCTTCATGTAGCTATTCCTCCACACACAAGTCTTCTTTACACATGCACGCACGTTAAACTTCTTTCGCGCCGTACGCAGCCAACCGTGTTCATTGGAGGCCCGGGGGAAGTTCACTACTTTAGCCCACCGGTGTGTAAATGTTGTGGATTCACTCTTCAACACACCGGTGGGCTGAAGTAGTAAGCTATTTGGCGTTTTGTTAACGTGACACTTTTTTGTTACTGATTGGCCGTGTCGGGTGGTGGAGGGTTGCGACACATTTATAAATAACGCGATCTAACCCAATTTTTTTTATATATTGTGAATTTAACTTGACTACAAACCGCCGAGATCAATTCCATCCTGGCAGCAGAAAAAACCTCGGTGGAATAGAGCCACCTCAAGGTCAGATACCCTGGGCAGGTCGACTCACCCTCCCGCCTTGCCCAACCCCTGTCGCCGCTCATCACCACCACTCACCGCCGTGCGTGTGCGGCGGTGAGTGGTGTGTGACGTGTGTGGCGTGTGTGACGTGTGTTTGACGTGTGTGGCGTGTGTGACGTGTGTTTGACGTGTGTGGCGTGTGTGACGTGTGTTTGACGTGTGTGGCGTGTGTGGTGTGTGTGGTGTGTGTGACGTGTGTTTGACGTGTGTGGCGTGTGTGGCATGTGTGACGTGAGTGACATGTGTGTGACGTGTGTGACGTGAGTGACGTGTGCGTGACGTGTGTGACGTGTGTGCAGGTGCGTGTGTGACGTGTGTGACGTGAGTGACGTGTGAGTGACGTGTGTGACGTGTGTGCAGGTGCGTGTGTGGTGTGTGTGGTGTGAGTGGTGTGTGACGTGTGTGACGTGAGTGACGTGTGTGACGTGCGTGCAGGTGTGTGTGTGGCGTGTGTGGTGTGAGTGGTGTGTGTGACGTGTGTGACGTGAGTGACGTGTGAGTGACGTGTGTGACGTGTGTGCAGATGCGTGTGTGACGTGTGAGTGACATGTGTGATGTGTGTGATGTGAGTGACGTGTGTGTGACGTGTGTGACGTGAGTGACGTGTGAGTGACGTGAGTGACGTGTGTGTGACGTGTGAGTGACGTGTGTGTGACGTGTGTGCAGGTGTGTGTGTGGCGTGTGTGGTGTGAGTGGTGTGTGTGACGTGTGTGACGTGAGTGACGTGTGAGTGACGTGTGTGACGTGTGTGCAGGTGCATGTGTAACGTGTGAGTGACATGTGTGATGTGTGTGACGTGAGTGACGTGTGTGTGACGTGTGTGACATGAGTGACGTGTGAGTGACGTGAGTGACGTGTGTGACGTGAGTGACGTGTGAGTGACGTGTGAGTGACGTGTGAGTGACGTTTGTGTGACGTGTGTGTGACGTGTGTGCAGGTGCGTGTGTGGGAGATTCCCGAGGGCGGCCTGCACCAGCAGCTCACCGAGCCGCTGGCCACGCTGCGTGGCCACTCACGCCGCGTCAGCCTCATCGAGTGGCACCCCGTGGCCTCGGGCCTCCTCTTCAGCACCGGCTATGACTGCAAGGTGACGGCACACTCACCGCCATCACTCTCGCCACCGCCATCACCATCAGAACCGCCATCGTCATCATCACTGCCACCGCTGCAATCGCCACCGCTATCACCATCGCAACTGCCATCGCCATCACAACCACCATCGCCATGACCACTGCTATCACCACCGACATCACCACTGCCATCGCTATAACAACCACCATCGCCATCACCATTGTCATCACCGCTGCCATCACCACCGCCATCACCTCCGCCATCGCTACCTCCAGCACCATCACAACCGCCACCACCACAGCCATCGCCATCACAACCGCCATCGCTATCACCACCGCCATCGCTGTGGGGCAATGGAGGCAGCAGGCCCACGCTTTTACAAAACTCAGAGCGTTACCCATTCAGCCCGGCTCGCGTCGACGATTGCTGACCACGCTTCACCAAAACCGCATCGTTGCTCATCCACCGGATCACCAATTTAGCAAAGGATAGTTTTTGCACACGGTGGGTGGGTAGGTGGGGGGCGTCGGTTCGTAAGGAACGGCACCTTGACAGGAGCGAGGGCCCGGGCGGTGGTCACGGTGGCGATGGTGGTGATGGTGGCGACGGTGATGACGGCGGTAACGGTGGTGACGGTGGTGACGGTGGCGACAGTGGTGACGGTGGTGACGATGGCGATGGTGGTGATGGTGGTGACGGTGGCGATGGTGGTGACGGTGGCGATGGTGGCGACGGTGGTGATGGTGGTGACGGTGATGACGGTGGTGACGGTGGTGACGGTGATGACGGTGGTGACGGTGATGACGGTGGTGACGGTGGTGACGGTGATGACGGTGGTGACGGTGGCGACGGTGGTGACGGTGGTGACGGTGATGACGGTGGTGACGGTGGTGACGGTGATGACGGTGGTGACGGTGGTGACGGTGACGATAGTGGTTACGGTGGTGACGGTGGTGACGGTGGTGACGGTGGTGACGGTGGTGACGGTGGTGACGATGGCGATGGTGGTGATGGTGGTGACGGTGGTGACGGTGATGACGGTGATGACGGTGGTGACGGTGGTGATGGTGATGACGGTGGCCATGGTGGTGACGGTGGCCATGGTGGTGACGGTGGTGACGGTGGCGACGGTGGTGACGGTGGCGACGGTGGTGACGGTGATGACGGTGGTGACGGTGGTGATGGTGGTGACGGTGGTGACGGTGGTGACGGTGGCGATGGTGGTGACGGTGATGACGGTGGTGACGGTGGCGACGGTGGCGACGGTGGTGACGGTGGGTGTTGCGTCATGGTGGGCGGCCCGCAGGTGCTGCTGTGGGACGTGGAGAAGCGCACGGCGGTGCGCTCCTTCGACTGCCACGGCGACATCGTCCTCTCCATGTCGTTTGACTGCGCCGGCAACGTCATGGCCACCGCCTGCAAGGACAAGAGCATGCGCGTCATCGACGCCCGCACGGGCGCCGTGCTCAAGGTGCGTGGCCGCTACCACCCCCCGCACCGCCTCCCCCGCCCGCCTCTTTAGACGTGGGCCTCCAGACCGACACAAAATGATGCGAGGCGTGACGGCCCGTCTCGTCTCGGCGCTCCGTCGTGAGCCACGTCTTTGCCTGGAGGGTGACCCCCAGGGTGCGATCGCAGGAGACAACCGCGGGTTCCCACCTCTTTCGGACGTCGTCCGTCGCACATGTAGCTAGCGTAACGTAACGCACGTGTAGCTAGTGTAACGTAACGCACGTGTAGCTAGCGTAACGTAAGGCACGTGTAGCTAGCGTAACGTAACACACGTGTAGCTAGCGTAACGTAACACACCTGTAGCTAGCGTAACGTAACGCAAGTGTAGGTAGCGTAACGTAACGCAAGTGTAGCTAGTGTAACATAACGCACGTGTAGCTAGTGTAACGTAACGCAAGTGTAGCTAGTGTAACGTAACGCACGTGTAGCTAGTGTAACGTAACGCAAGTGTAGCTAGAGTAACGTAACGTGTAGCTAGTGTAACGTAACACACGTGTAGCTAGCGTAACGTAACACACGTGTAGCTAGCGTAACGTAACACACGTGTAGCTAGTGTAACGTAATGCACGTGTAGCTAGAGTAACGTAACGCACGTGTAGTTATAGTAACGTAAGGCACGTGTAGCTAGAGTAATGTAACGCAAGTGTAGCTAGTGTAACATAACGCACGTGTAGCTAGTGTAACGTAACACAAGTGTAGCTAGCGTAACGTAACGCACGTGTAGTTATAGTAACGCACGTGTAGCTAGTGTAACGTAATGCACGTGTAGCTAGCGTAACGTAACACAAGTGTAGCTAGCGTAACGTAACGCACGTGTAGCTAGAGTAACGTAACGCAAGTGTAGCTAGCGTAACGTAACGCACGTGTAGCTAGTGTAACGTAACGCACGTGTAGTTATAGTAACGTAAGGCACGTGTAGCTAGTGTAACGTAACGCACGTGTAGCTAGTGTAACGTAACGCACGTGTAGCTAGCGTAACGTAACACACGCGTAGCTAGTGTAACATAACGTGTAGCTAGCGTAACATAACGCAAGTGTAGCTAGCGTAACGTAACGCAAGTGTAGCTAGCGTAACGTAACACACGTGTAGCTAGTGTAACGTAACGCAAGTGTAGCTAGTGTAACGTAACGCAAGTGTAGCTAGCGTAACGTAACGCACGTATAGCTAGCGTAACGTAACGCACGTATAGCTAGCGTAACGTAACGCACGTGTAGTTATAGTAACGTAACGTGTAGCTAGCGTAACGTAAGGCACGTGTAGTTATAGTAACGTAACACACGTGTAGCTAGTGTAACGTCACGTGTAGCTAGCGTAACGTAACGCACCTGTAGCTAGCGTAACGTAACGCAAGTGTAGGTAGCGTAACGTAACGCAAGTGTAGCTAGTGTAACGTAACGCACGTGTAGCTAGTGTAACGTAACGCAAGTGTAGCTAGTGTAACGTAATGCACGTGTAGCTAGTGTAACGTAACGCAAGTGTAGCTAGAGTAACGTAACGTGTAGCTAGTGTAACGTAACGCAAGTGTAGCTAGCGTAACGTAACACACGTGTAGCTAGCGTAACGTAACGCACGTGTAGTTATAGTAACGTAAGGCACGTGTAGCTAGAGTAATGTAACGCAAGTGTAGCTAGTGTAACATAACGCACGTGTAGCTAGTGTAACGTAACACAAGTGTAGCTAGCGTAACGTAACGCACGTGTAGTTATAGTAACGCACGTGTAGCTAGTGTAACGTAACGCACGTGTAGCTAGCGTAACGTAACACAAGTGTAGCTAGCGTAACGTAACGCACGTGTAGCTAGAGTAACGTAACGCAAGTGTAGCTAGCGTAACGTAACACACGTGTAGCTAGTGTAACGTAACGCACGTGTAGTTATAGTAACGTAAGGCACGTGTAGCTAGTGTAACGTAACGCACGTGTAGCTAGTGTAACGTAACGCACGTGTAGCTAGCGTAACGTAACGCACGCGTAGCTAGTGTAACATAACGTGTAGCTAGCGTAACGTAACGCAAGTGTAGCTAGCGTAACGTAACGCAAGTGTAGCTAGCGTAACGTAACACACGTGTAGCTAGTGTAACGTAACGCAAGTGTAGCTAGTGTAACGTAACGCAAGTGTAGCTAGTGTAACGTAACGCAAGTGTAGCTAGCGTAACGTAACGCACGTATAGCTAGCGTAACGTAACGCACGTATAGCTAGCGTAACGTAACGCACGTGTAGTTATAGTAACGTAACGTGTAGCTAGCGTAACGTAAGGCACGTGTAGTTATAGTAACGTAACACACGTGTAGCTAGAGTAACATAACGTGTAGCTAGCGTAACGTAAGGCACGTGTAGTTATAGTAACGTAACACACGTGTAGCTAGAGTAACGTAACGTGTAGCTAGCGTAACGTAAGGCACCGGTGTGTGTGTGTGTGCGTGCGTGCGTGCGGTGTCGGTGTGTGTGCGCAGCACCGGGACGGCACTCCGCACCGAGCGCAGAAGGTGGTGGTGCTGGGGGACACCAAGATGCTGGCGTCGACGGGCATCTCCTGGAGCAACCAGCGACAGATCGCCGTGTGGCACCAGGTGAGGGTACCCTCCCCCTCCACCCGCTGACTCGTCGTCGCTGCCGTGGTCTATCCACCGCCGGATGAATTGCCTCCCTCCGTGTTATCGCCGCTCGTTTCTCAGCGCGGACATCCGTTCGCACGAGGTGGTTTCCTCGCTCCGTCTCTCCGCGGTCGACACATTTGGCTGCCACTCCGTTGTGCGTCTCGACCACCGGCGATCACCGTCCCTTCTATCCGCGGCGAGTCCGGCCACTCGCTCGCTCGCCATCCTTCACGGTCAATGCAGTGCCACTAACTTGCGTGCGTTTTCAAAGTCTGTTTCTTTGAAATCTCAATAAGTTTAGACCAAAATCAGCAGATCTAAGTGTTTGCAGTGGAATATAAAACCTAAACTAAGCTAAAAAAAATTATATTATGAGACCTCCTTTACCAGTAGCAAGATATAGTAATAGGTTTTTACCCTTTTATCTGGCACCAAAACTGACACCTTTATACAAGGGATCATGTTTGCAATAACCACAACACAAGCAGTCAAAATGCAAACATCTGGTCCAACACCAGTGGAGACTAGGCTCTAAGAAAAGCCGTCTCGGGTGTGGAGAAATCAATTTCAAGGACAATGCATATCATTATCAGAGTTGTCTCTTTTTGTTTGCATTTTGACTGCTTGTGTTGTGGTTATTGCAAACATGATCCCTTGTATAAAGGTGTCAGTTTTGGTGCCAGATAAAAGGGTAAAAACCTATTACTAAGCTAAAACTATTTTTATTTTACCTGATAAGGGCCACTGAGCTATGTAGCTCTTTTTCATAAGCGGTCTGGCAACAAATGATAGCTCAACGAAGTGGCTTATCACGTGGAAATCTAGAGCAGTCAAATACTGTTAATGCGTGTTGATTCTAAATGTGGAGGACTCGGAGAAAAATCCACGTGACTCACAGGGAGAGAGACATGCAAACTCCAAATATACAGCAGCAGCAGGCGTCAGGGTCGGGATCAAACCCACGACCTCCTGTATACCAGGCGAGGTAGTTAACATCTCGTCACCATGGGGAAGTCACCTTTACAATTCTGTCCTAAACTTATTGCGCCCCTTGCTTTCTCCGGCCCCTCCCCCCACCTCTGCTGCTTATTTTAAGCCTCTGTCTGTTCATCCCTCTGGCCCTTTTTCTTGCTCCTCTGTCCTTCTTTCCTCTTCTTGCCTCTTGGTGTCCCTGTGTATGTATTTCTGCTACCTTGTAACTCGCATTTGTTCACTCTGTCTATGCTGGTGCGTTCAACCCAGAGGATGAACACGAAATTTAGCACTCTTCTGAAATTCGTGGTCCGCCAGGCAAGTGTCTAACTGTGTCGTTGGCCGACTGATTTTGCATCACGTAAATTTTTCTTAGGTTTGTTGAATTCTCGTCTCTCATCTTCTTGTTGGATTTACCTCCGTGCAGTTTAACGCTCTCTATGTGTTGCGTTGATGTCACCCTATGTGCTCCCTCGCTATTTGTTTTTTACACCTGATGAAGATCGCTTGTGTTGCGGTCAAAACGTCGTGATTTATTTATTTTAATATAATTTTATGGTATTTCTACATACGTGACTTTACCGAAAAAAACAATGAGTCATTTATGCAGTCACGAAAGCTTTAATTCTTTATTAGTTTGGTGAGATGTTTAGGGGCCAAATCATTCAAGGTCTGAAACGTGAGAAGAAGAATCTTAAAAGTCGATTCTGTACCTTACAGGGAGCCAGTGCAGGGAGGAGAGGATTGGAGTGATATGTTTAAAATACATTGGCACGTTGCCCTTCATACCCCCGGTGCTTTGCTCCAAAGGCACTCCCAACTTGATGGCTCCCCTGCCTCTTGGTGCCACCGCCGGGCTGGGCCGATTCGTGGAGACCGCTGCCGCAACGCGAGGCAGCCGTTGCCCGCAGCGGTCCCCACGAACCCAGCGACGAACGGGGGGGGGGGGGTGGGGGTGGAGAGAGATGGCAGCGAGACGACCATTGCCAGGGCAGACGCTGTGAGGCTGCGTGCCAGCCGCGCAGCAGCAGCGGCCGTGCGGTTTGGTGGCAGGGTAGGAACGCGTCGGGCAATAGAGATGCGGTGGTGCTGGTGTTGGTGGTTGTGGTGGTAGCGGTGTTGGCAGTGGTGGTGATGGTAGTGGTGGCGGTGGTGGCGGTGGTGTTGACGGCGGTGGTGGTGGCAGTGGTGGCGGTGGTGGCGGTGGTGTTGACGTCGGTGGTGGCGGCAGTGGTGGCGGCAGTGGCGGTGGCTGTGGCGGTGGCTGTGGCGGTGGTGGTGTTGACGGCGGTGGTGGTGGTGGTAGTGGTGGCGGTGGTGGCGGTGGTGTTGACGGCGGCGGTGGCGGCAGTGGCGGCGGCTGTGGCGGCGGTGGTGTTTGACGGCAGCGGTGGCTGTGGTTGCGATGGCATCGTCCGCCTCGTGGGCCCACGGCGACGTCTCGGCGTTGACCGTGACGAGGGCAACAGCGACGCCACCGCTGACTGAGCGCGTTGGGGCGGTCGCCGTCTCGCCGCAGGAGGACCTCTCCAAGCCGCTGGTGGCGCTCGACCTCGACGGGATCTCCGGCCTCCTCTTCCTCTTCTTCGACTCCGACACGCGCATGCTCTTCGTCGTGGGCAAGGTGCGGCTGCTTCCCTCCGCTGGCTCACCGTGAACGGGCGGGCGGGCACCACGCGCGGGTGTTCCCACGTGGGCAGTCGGGTTAGCGAGCGCCCATTGAGGCCGCGTGCTGTGTGGCCAGCAGAGGCCGGTGCGGCAAAGTCCATTGTTGTTCCGCTCGATGCTCCCACCGTCTATTGCTTCCTGCTTCGTGTTTGTGAAATGGAAACTGAGGTTCGCGTTACACGCTCCACGGTTCTCTTCTGGGTCGCCGCTCACTGCCGGAGAGTTGAAAAATTTCGATCTGTGCATCAACATGAACATCATCAATACAGTCTTCATCGTTCATAATAAAGGTTTTTGGGTTAGATCGCGTTATTTATAAATGTGTCGTAACCCTACACCACCCGACACTCAAACTGTAAATGTTGTGGATTCACTCTTCAACACACCGGTGGGCTAAAGTAGTGAACTATTTGTCTTTTTCTTAGTTTTTTCGGTAAAGTCACATTGAAGGGAAACAACAAAATAATAAAATATATATATAAAACAATAAAAAAAATTATCACGACGTTTCGACCATAACTCAAACGGTCGTCTTCAGGTGTATTGTTTGCATAAATGTATTTTTAACGGCACATTTATTTATTTATAAAAACGTTAGCGCCACGCGCAACGATTTGGCAGTTTATTTAGGACTAGTCCATCTATATTCTGAAAAGAGGAGGGGGGAGACGACATTTTATAATGTATGCTGTCTGAAAGCCACTGTAAGCGTGAACAATCAATTAAGACCTGAAATGGTTTATCAAATCTTTCCAATGATTGCTAAGATAGAATCCATCTTCTCGGTTGAAATTGTCTCTGTGCTTGTATATGTGGATAGCCTCTTGAACGAATCTCTCATGGAAGCCAGATGGCTTACAAAGAACCTCTGTCTTGGAAAAGTCAATGGCATGTGAGCCTACTGAATTAGAACAATGATCTGCCACGGCCGAGGTGTTAGTCCTACCGTGTTTAAGGTCTGCTTTGTGTTCACGAATGCGGTCCGAGACATGGCGTTTGGTTTCTCCAATGTAACTACTACCACAGAGGCAACTTAGTTTGTAGACACCAGGGTATTGTATGTCCGGAATCACATCTTTTACAGACGGAACCAGATCACGGATTTTATGTAATGTGTTGAAACGGACCTGGATCTTGTGTTTATTCAAGATTTTGGAGATCTTTTTTGTGATCCCCGCAATGTAGGGTAAAGTGATGGTTTTGAAAGGCTCCTCAAGAGGGTTCTTCTTCATGGTTTGAGTGATAGCTTTGCGGATTGTATAGTCGGAGTAACCATTAGCCCTAAGAGCTTGGTGTACGTGCTTGAGTTCACTGCTTATGTGTTCCTGGTCGGATATGCATTGGGCTCTATGATACAGAGTCTTGATGAGAGAATTCTTCTGTGATGGATGGTGGTTGGAATCCGGTTTCAGATAAGCATCCGTATGGGTAGCTTTCCTGTAGACAGAGTGGCTCATTGAACCATCAGGTCTCTTTTTAATTAGGACGTCCAAAAAAGGTATCTTGCCATCTATTTCGACTTCCATGGTAAATCTGATGGCTGGGTGTATGGAATTTATGTGGTCGAAGAATTGGTCTAGAGCAGGCCGGCCATGTGGCCAGATGACAAAAGTGTCATCCACGTACCTCTTCCATAAGGTTGGGCGCAGAGTGGCAGTCTGGATGGCGTCAGTCTCAAATTTCTCCATGAAAATGTTAGCTATAACTGGGGAAAGGGGGGAGCCCATTGGGGTGCCCTCAGTTTGTTTGTAGAAAGTTCCATTCCAAGTGAAGTATGTATTGGTTAAACGGTGTCTCACCAGGGGGGGTACCTCAGTGTTTAGTCCTTGATGAACCAAGTCTTCAATGATTGCAATGGTGTCAGGTACAGGAACCTTGGTGAATAAGGAAACTACATCAAAACTGACAAGCAGGTCATCTGGGGACAGGGAAATACCCTTGATTGTCGATACCAGGTGAGTAGAATTTTGTACCGCAGAGGTGGTCTTTCCAGTGAAAGGACGCAGGATTTCAGACAAAAAACGAGCTAGTTTGTAGGTGGGGGAGCCGATAGTAGAAACTATGGGACGAAGGGGTGTATCTACTTTATGTATTTTTGGTAAGCCGTATAATCTTGGTGGCCTGGCAGCAGAAGGTTTCAACGAAAACTGTTTAGATTGATCAATTAATGCGGTTGAATCAGAAAAAAAAATACATAAAGTAGATACACCCCTTCGTCCCATAGTTTCTACTATCGGCTCCCCCACCTACAAACTAGCTCGTTTTTTGTCTGAAATCCTGCGTCCTTTCACTGGAAAGACCACCTCTGCGGTACAAAATTCTACTCACCTGGTATCGACAATCAAGGGTATTTCCCTGTCCCCAGACGACCTGCTTGTCAGTTTTGATGTAGTTTCCTTATTCACCAAGGTTCCTGTACCTGACACCATTGCAATCATTGAAGACTTGGTTCATCAAGGACTAAACACTGAGGTACCCCCCCTGGTGAGACACTGTTTAACCAATACATACTTCACTTGGAATGGAACTTTCTACAAACAAACTGAGGGCACCCCAATGGGCTCCCCCCTTTCTCCAGTTATAGCTAACATTTTCATGGAGAAATTTGAGACTGACGCCATCCAGACTGCCACTCTGCGCCAAACCTTATGGAAGAGGTACGTGGATGACACTTTTGTCATCTGGCCACATGGCCGGCCTGCTCTAGACCAATTCTTCGACCACATCAATTCCATACACCCAGCCATCAGATTTACCATGGAAGTCGAAATAGATGGCAAGACACCTTTTTTGGATGTCCTAATTAAAAAGAGACCTGATGGTTCAATGAGCCACTCTGTCTACAGGAAAGCTACCCATACGGATGCTTATCTGAAACCGGATTCCCACCACCATCCATCACAGAAGAATTCTCTCATCAAGACTCTGTATCATAGAGCCCAATGCATATCCGACCAGGAACACATAAGCAGTGAACTCAAGCACGTACACCAAGCTCTTAGGGCTAATGGTTACTCCGACTATACAATCCGCAAAGCTATCACTCAAACCATGAAGAAGAACCCTCTTGAGGAGCCTTTCAAAACCATCACTTTACCCTACATTGCGGGGATCACAAAAAAGATCTCCAAAATCTTGAATAAATACAAGATCCAGGTCCGTTTCAACACATTACATAAAATCCGTGATCTGGTTCCGTCTGTAAAAGATGTGATTCCGGACATACAATACCCTGGTGTCTACAAACTAAGTTGCCTCTGTGGTAGTAGTTACATTGGAGAAACCAAACGCCATGTCTCGGACCGCATTCGTGAACACAAAGCAGACCTTAAACACGGTAGGCCCAACACCTCGGCCGTGGCAGATCATTGTTCTAATTCAGTAGGCTCACATGCCATTGACTTTTCCAAGACAGAGGTTCTTTGTAAGCCATCTGGCTTCCATGAGAGATTCGTTCATGAGGCTATCCACATATACAAGCACAGAGACAATTTCAACCGAGAAGATGGATTCTATCTTAGCAATCATTGGAAAGATTTGATAAACCATTTCAGGTCTTAATTGATTGTTCACGCTTACAGTGGCTTTCAGACAGCATACATTATAAAATTTCGTCTCCCCCCTCCTCTTTTCAGAATATAGATGGACTAGTCCTAAATAAACTGCCAAATCGTTGCGCGTGGCACTAACGTTTTTATAAATAAATAAATGTGCCGTTTAAAAATACATTTATGCAAACCAACACACCTGAAGACGACCGTTTGAGTTATGGTCGAAACGTCGTGAGAATTTTTTTATTGTTTTATATATATTTTATTATTTTGTTGTTTCCCTTCAACGTGACTTTACCGAAAAAACTAAGAATATGAATTACTGCAGTCACGAAAGCTTTAAATCAAATTTTATTTTTCTTTTGTGAACGTGACACTTTTTTGCTGATTGGCCGTGTCGGGTGGCGGAGGGTTACGACACATTCATAAATAACGCGATCTCACCCAAAAACCTTTACTATGAATAATATTGGTCGCGAAAGCCTACGTGTTAAACAATCATTATCACCAAGTATCCTCATCAGCTGCTGCTGCTGTGGTTCGTGAAGTGGATGCGGTTTAGGGGTTGCCGCATCCGCACAAACCATGGCGGCAGATGCGGATACTAGACCATGACGAAGATGACGACGACGATGATGACGACGATGATGCATACAATTGGACAATCCATTGTCGGAGTGACTCAAGCCTGTGCCTCTCCGATCTGTGATGACCGTCCGCGCGACCGGGGCGGTGTGCGCAGGGCGACACGACGATCCGCTACTACGAGATCAGCACGGAGAAGCCCTTCCTGCACTTCCTCGGGGAATATCACTCCCATCAGCCGCAGAAAGGAATGGGTGAGCCGCCCCCCCCACACCCCCCTCACCCCCCCCCTCTCTGTCTCCCCATGGTCGCGTGGATTTTTCTCCGGGTCCTCCGGTTCTTCCCTCCACATTTACAATCAACATCACCATGCGTATTTGGCTGCAATACATTTCCACGTGATGATAAGCCACTTCGTTGATCTATCATTTGTGGCCAAGTCCCTTCTGATAAAGAGCTGCATAGCTCAGTGAGCCTTACCTGGTAAAATTTAAAAAAAATAGTTTATAGTGTAAGAGCCCTTCGGAGAAGATGCTGTCGTTTATACCACGTGATTGTTATCACAGTCTCAACCATCATCATGATGGTCATTATCACATCATTATAATATTATAGTTACCGTCGTTTTAATGAATGTCATCAGAACCATCGTGCAGCAGCATCGTCATCGTTGGCAGTGTCATCAGGATTGTTCACGGGCACATTGTAAATAATCCTCAATCATCGCCGTCGTCATCGTCATCATCATCATCAATCACCGCTTGCGGTGGTACGTTCAGTAGGCAACCGCCAACGTCTACTCTTCCAACTTCATTCCCACGATGGGAGTTGTACGGCGAGGGTCTGGGTTACGGCTTCCCCCGCGCCGCCCTCCCGACCCCCCCCCCCCCCTCTGCTGCCCCCCTTCCGCTTCGTGCTGCCCCCCTCCTTTGACTGGGTCAAGGCACGCCCAGAGGCACACGGCAGTGGTGGACGTCGATGGCGGTTCTGTGCCAATGAATCCCGGTACTGACAAAGCCGGTCCACGGCCGCGTCCTCTTGTCTCAACGCCGTTCGCACCGTGCGGGAGGTGCGGCGTCGTCTCAGTTACTTGCAACGGGCGAGCGAGGAGAAAATCGCCACGAAGCGGTTCTTCTGAACTGGTGGTCACTACCAACGACGTGCGAGCCCCAGGGGAACGTGTTTTGCACGTGTGGTGCGCGCCATTGCGCACTGTAACGTTTACTTGATTCCCGGCCTGCCTTACTGCCTGCCTTCCTGCCTGCCTGCTTGCCTGCCTTACTGCCTGCCTGCCTTTCTGTCTGCCTTCCTGTCTGTCTGCCTGTCTGCCTGCCTGCCTGCCTGTCTGCCTGCTTGCCTGCCCACCTTCCTGCCTGTCTGCCTGCTTGCCTATCTGTCTGCCTGCCTGCCTGCCTGCCTGTCTGTCTGTCTGCCTGTCTGTCTGCCTTCCTGCCTGCCTGCCTGCCTGCCTTCCTGCCTGTCTGCCTGCCTATCTGCCTGCCTGCCTGTCTGTCTGTCTGCCAGCTTTCCTGCCTTCCTGCCTGTCTGCCAGTCTGCCTGCCTGCCTGCCTGCCTTCCTGCCTATCTCCCTGCCTGCCTGTCTGTCTGTCTGTCTGCCTGCTTTCCTGCCTTCCTGCCTGCCTTCCTGCCTATCTGCCTGCCTGCCTGCCTGGCTGCCTGCCTGCCAGTCTGCCTGCCTGCCTGCTTTCCTGCCTTCCTGCCTGCTTGCCTGCCTACGTGCGCGACTGTGTTCTACCGTGATGGGGATGCCTCGTGGCTCGCAGATCAGGGCTGATGGCGAGCGTCCGGTTTGCGATCCAGGCATGATGCCCAAACGAGGCGTGGACACGGCGGTGTGCGAGGTCTTCCGCTTCTACAAGCTCATCGTCCCCAAAGGCACCATTGAGCCCATCTCCATGATCGTACCACGGCGGGTGAGTGGGCGACTGAGCGGGGAGGTGGGTGGGTGAGTGGGTGGTTGAATGAGTGGGTGACACTGAGTGGGTGGGTGACTGAGTGGACGACTAAGTGGGTGACTGGGTGGGCGAGTGAGTGGTTGAATGGGGCGCCGCAGTGGTGAGATGTTAACTACCTCGCCTAGTGTACAGGAGCCCGTGGGTTCGATCATGTCCCTGATGATGCCTGCTGTATCTTTTGAGTTTGCGTGTCTCTCTCTCTCACCGTGGTCACGTAGATTCTGCTCCAGTTCCTCTGGGTTTTTCCCTCCACATTTAGAATCAACATCACGTGTTTACAGTATTTGGCTGCTATACATTTCCACGTGATAAGCAACTTCGTTGAGCGATGATTTGTGGCCAGATCGCTGCTGAAAGAGAGCTATATAGCTCAGTGGGCCTTACATGGTAAAATAAAAAAGTAGTTGTAAAAGGGTAAGAAAGCGGGTGAGTGGATGCACGAGTTATTGAATCATTGAGTGGGTGAATGAGCGAGTGAATGAGCGGATTACTGAGTGAATGAATGAGTGAATGAGCAACCTAGCAAGCGTCCACCACGACCAGTAACTGCTTCTTTGGTTCTTTCGGTAAAGTCACGTAGAATGAGAATAAAATAATAAAATAAGATTCGTAGCGACTTTTAAGCTGGTTATAGCTAACATTTTCATGGAGAAATTTGAGACTGACGCCATCCAGACTGCCACTCTGCGCCCAACCTTATGGAAGAGGTACGTGGATGACACTTTTGTCATCTGGCCACATGGCCGGCCTGCTCTAGACCAATTCTTCGACCACATCAATTCCATACACCCAGCCATCAGATTTACCATGGAAGTCGAAATAGATGGCAAGATACCTTTTTTGGATGTCCTAATTAAAAAGAGACCTGATGGTTCAATGAGCCACTCTGTCTACAGGAAAGCTACCCATACGGATGCTTATCTGAAACCGGATTCCCACCACCATCCATCACAGAAGAATTCTCTCATCAAGACTCTGTATCATAGAGCCCAATGCATATCCGACCAGGAACACATAAGCAGTGAACTCAAGCACGTACACCAAGCTCTTAGGGCTAATGGTTACTCCGACTATACAATCCGCAAAGCTATCACTCAAACCATGAAGAAGAACCCTCTTGAGGAGCCTTTCAAAACCATCACTTTACCCTACATTGCTGGGATCACAAAAAAGATCTCCAAAATCTTGAATAAACACAAGATCCAGGTCCGTTTCAACACATTACATAAAATCCGTGATCTGGTTCCGTCTGTAAAAGATGTGATTCCGGACATACAATACCCTGGTGTCTACAAACTAAGTTGCCTCTGTGGTAGTAGTTACATTGGAGAAACCAAACGCCATATCTCGGACCGCATTCGTGAACATAAAGCAGACCTTAAACACGGTAGGACCAACACCTCGGCCGTAGCAGATCATTGTTCTAATTCAGTAGGCTCACATGCCATTGACTTTTCCAAGACGGAGGTTCTTTGTAAGCCATCTGGCTTCCATGAGAGATTCGTTCATGAGGCTATCCACATATACAAACACAGAGACAATTTCAACCGAGAAGATGGATTCTATCTTAGCAATCATTGGAAAGATTTGATAAATCATTTCAGTTCTTGATTGATTGTTCACGCTTACAGTGGCTTTCAGACAGCATACATAAAAACAAATTTCGTCTCCCCCCTCCCCTTTTCAAAAAATAGATGGACTAGTCCTGGCAAACAGCCAATCGTTGCGCGTGACGCAAACGTTATTTTTATATATATATAAATAAATATGCCGTTTTCAAAATAAATTTATGCAAACCGACACACCTGATGATGACCGTTTGAGTTATGGTCGAAACGTCGTGAGAATTTTTTATTGTTTTATATATATTTTGTTATTTTGTTGTTTCTCTTCAACGTGACTTTACCGAAAAAACTAAGAATATGAATACTGGTTAACATCGTTCACTGAAGCTCTGGCGTCCCGACAGGTCTGTTCCTTTCACCTGAAGACGGCCGCTTGCGTTGTGGCCGAAACGTCGTGAGAATTTTATTGTGTTATTTTATTATTTTATTCTCATTCTACGTGACTTTACCGAAGGAACCAAAGAAGATGAATCCTTGCAGTCACGAAAGCTTTAAATCGAAACAGTAACTGCTTGTATCACGAAAAAAAAATGGGCAATGAACCCCTTACCGATTTAAAGCTTTCGTGACTGCAAGGATTCATCTTCTTTGGTTCTTTCGATGAAGTCACGTAGAATGAGAATAAAATAATAAATTAATAAAATAAAATAACACAATACAATTTTCACGACGTTTCGGCCACAACACAAGTGGCCTTCTTCAGGTGAAAGGAACAGACCTGTCGGGACGACAGAGCTTCAATGTCCCGACAGGTCTGTTCCTTTCACCTGGAGAAGGCCACTTGTGTTGTGGCCGAAGCGTCGTGAGAATTTTATTGTGTTATTTTATTTTATTAATTTATTATTTTATTCTCATTCTACGTGACTTTACCGAAAGAACCAAAGAAGATGAACCCCTTAGCCATTGTGCGCCCAGCCAACGTTCACTGCACAACTGGTCTCATCCGTCCCTCCCGCAGTCTGAGGCGTACCAAGAGGACATTTACCCCTTGACTGCTGGGCCCCAGCCAGCTCTGAGTGCCGACGAGTGGCTGAGTGGCGTCAACAAAGGTGCGTTCATTGGCTCAACGAGCCAGGGTCTGTTCCGCGATTGCAGCTTCTGAGCGGTGGTGTTCATGCTAGCCGATGGTGGAGAGAGAGACCAGTCAGTCAGTCTATTGTCTAGAGTCCCCATCAGAAACAAGTCAGTCAGTCTATTGTCTAGAGACCCCATCAGAGACCAGTCAGTCAGTCTATTGTCTAGAAACCCGATCAGAAACAAGTCAGTCAGTCTATTGTCTAGAGTCCCCATCAGAGAACAGTCAGTCAGTCTATTGTCTAGAGACCCCATCAGAGACCAGTCAGTCAGTCCATTGTCTAGAGACCCCATCAGAAACAAGTCAGTCAGTCCATTGTCTAGAGACCCCATCAGAGACCAGTTAGTCAGTCCATTGTCTAGAGACCCCATCAGAGACCGGTCAGTCAATCCATTGTCTAGAGACCCCATCAGAGACCAGTCAGTCAGTCCATTGTCTAGAGACCCCATCAGAAACAATTCAGTCAGTCCATTGTCTACAGACCCCATCAGAGATCAGTCAGTCAGTCCATTGTCTAGAGACCCCATCAGAGACCAGTCAGTCAGTCCATTGTCTAGAGACCCCATCAGAGACCAGTCAGTCAGTCCATTGTCTAGAGACCCCATCAGAGACCAGTCAGTCAGTCCATTGTCTAGAGACCCCATCAGAGACCAGTCAGTCAGTCCATTGTCTAGAGACCCATCAGAGACCAGTCAGTCTATTGTCTAGAGTCCCCATCAGAGACCAGCCAGTCAGTCTATTGTCTAGAGTCCCCATCAGAGACCAGTCAGTCAGTCTATTGTCTAGAGTCCCCATCAGAAACAAGTCAGTCAGTCTATTGTCTAGAGACCCCATCAGAAACAAGTCAGTCAGTCTATTGTCTAGAGACCCCATCAGAGACCAGTCAGTCAGTCCATTGTCTAGAGACCCCATCAGAGACCAGTCATTCAGTCTATTGTCTAGAGACCCCATCAGAGATCAGTCAGTCAGTCTATTGTCTAGAGACCCTATCAGAGACCAGTCCGTCAGTCTATTATCTAGAGACCCCATCAGAGACCAGTCAGTCAGTCTATTGTCTAGAGTCCCCATCAGAAACGAGTCAGCCAGTCTATTGTCTAGAGTCCCCATCAGAGACCAGTCAGTCAGTCCATTGTCTAGAGACCCTATCAGAGAACAGTCAGTGAGTCCATTGTCTAGAGACCCCATCAGAGACCAGTCAGTTTATTGTCTAGAGACCCCATCAGAGACAAGTCAGTCACTCTATTGTCTAGAGTCCCCATCAGAGATCAGTCAGTCAGTCCATTGTCTAGAGACCCCATCAGAAACCAGTCAGTCGGTCTATTGTCTAGAGTCCCCATCAGAAACGAGTCAGTCAGTCCATTGTCTAGAGTCCCCATCAGAGACCAGTCAGTCAGTCTATTGTCTAGAGTCCCCATCAGAAACGAGTCAGTCAGTCCATTGTCTAGAGTCCTCATCAGAGACCAGTCAGTCAGTCCATTGTCTAGAAACCCCATCAGAGACCAGTCAGTCAGTCTATTCTCTAGAGTCCCCATCAAAGACCAGTCAGTCAGTCCATTGTCTAGAGTCCCCATCAGAGACCAGTCAGTCAGTCTATTGTCTAGAGACCCCATCAGAGACCAGTCAGTCAGTTTATTGTCTAGAGTCCCCATCAAAGACCAGTCAGTCAGTCCATTGTCTAGAGTTCCCATCAGAGACCAGTCAGTCAGTCTATTGTCTAGAGACCCCATCAGAAACAAGTCAGTCAGTCCATTGTCTAGAGACCCCATCAGAGACCAGTCAGTCAGTCTATAGTCTAGAGTCCCCATCAGAAACAAGTCAGTCAGTTTATTGTCTAGAGACCCCATTTCAGACCAGTCAGTCAGTCCATTGTCTAGAGTCCCCATCAGAGAGCAGTCAGTCAGTCTATTGTCTAGAGACCCCATCAGAAACAAGTCAGTCAGTTTATTGTCTAGAGACCCCATCAGAGACCAGTCAGTCCATTGTCTAGAGTCCCCATCAGAGACCAGTCAGTTAGTCTATTGTCTAGAGACCCCATCAGAAACAAGTCAGTCAGTTTATTGTCTAGAGACCCTATCAGAAACAAGTCAGTCAGTCCATTGTCTAGAGTCCCCATCAGAAACAAGTCAGTCAGTTTATTGTCTAGAGACCCTATCAGAAACAAGTCAGTCAGTCTATTGTCTAGAGACCCCATCAGAAACAAGTCAGTCAGTCCATTGTCTAGAGTCCCCATCAGAGACCAGTCAGTCAGTCCATTCTCTAGAGTCCCCATCAGAGACCAGTCAGTCAGTCTATTGTCTAGAGACCCCATCAGAAACAAGTCAGTCAGTTTATTGTCTAGAGACCCTATCAGAAACAAGTCAGTCAGTCCATTGTCTAGAGACCCCATCAGAGACCAGTCAGTCAGTCCATTGTCTAGAGTCCCCATCAGAGACCAGTCAGTCTATTGTCTAGAGCAACGGTTATTACCTTTACTGCAGCCTTGCACCCCTTTGATTCTCAATCGTAACAAAAAAAATGTATGTTAATAAATACACGGAGGTTTGATTAAGCAACGTATTTGTACTTCCGTTATCTCGCACGTCCAGGGGGTCCGTGCGCCCCAGGCTAAGAATAAGAAGCACTGCTCTCTCGAGTCTCAAGACCTGATCAGAAATACGGGTCTGTCTCACAGGCCCCATGCTGGTGTCTCTCAAGGACGGGGCCCTGGACGCCTCCACCTCAGTGGTGGTGGCGCCGGGCAGGCCGGACTTGAGCGCCGCTACCGCTGCCGGCGTGCCGCGGGAGGCGGCGCAGGCCCAGCGCTCCTTTCTCCGGCACATGGATCCGGTGGTGGTGAACGGGCACGAGGGAGCCAACGACTCCAACGATAAACTCGACGGCAAGGTGAATCGTGAAAAAATATCAGCAGGAAAGGCAGGAGGTCAGCCCACAGTCGGCACTCTAAGAAGTTGCGATCGATAAGGGTGTCGCACGTGTCCTGAATTGAGCGAGGTTATTGTACTAAACTATTTTTTTTTATTTTACCAGGTAAGGCCCACTGAGCTATGTAGATCTTTTTTTTGAAGCGACCTGGCCACAAATTATATGCCAACGAAGTGGCTTATCACGTGGACATTTATAGCAGCCAAATATTCTAAATGCATGTTGATTTTAAATGTGTAGGGAAATAATCTGAGAAAAATCCACACAACTCGCAGGGAGAGAGACACGCAAACTCCATCAGGGTTGGGATCGAACCCACGACCTCCTGCGTACCAGGCGAGAGCGTAAACATCTCCCGGCCACCGTCGTACCCCAAATTAGACGAGGCTGGGTCGTTCTTGTTTTTTATACCGTATTTCACCTCACCGGTCAGCGTGGGTTGGTTGAAGGGGCAGCCGGTACCAGGATCAGGTTCAGGTGCCACTCGCCACTGACGCCAGCCCAGGCTGGGGAATCGAACTCGGGGCTGACTGGGGATGTTAACCACGCGAATGGGCCAACCGCGGCAGTGCCAGCGCCACAGCCTGTCGGCTATACGCACGTTCGCCAATCTATTATTCACCGCCCCGTCACAATGTACGCACGATAGTTTTACGAGCGTGGGTGAAATTTATGCTCATTACAATGAGGGGGGGTGGGTGGACGGGCGGGCGGGCGGGCGGCTGCCACCTGATGGAGCTGTTCGGGGCAGGGGTCGGCAACCGGAGTAACAAGAATAGCAAATTGTTTTAGAATTCGGGATAAAAAAAAAACTAAACTTCGATATTTCCAGAGTTGCATGGTGGGGTCCCGTTCACCGCTGAATCTCGGAGCGTGCGCGCGGCTCAGCGTTAACTCTATTTAGAGAGGGGTAGCAGCGCCGTTGTTTTTAAAGACACTGTACTCACCGCATACAACTGTAGCGACACGACCGCCGCAATCTACGACAGCTGGGCGCCAAACTGTGCCGCACGCCCTCCCGTGAGCTCTTTCACTTCCCGCTCCGATGGCGCACGCGAAGAAGAACGAATGACGTACACGTACGTCACGAAGCGGTCCTCAAAGAGCCGCAGGTTGCCCACCCCTGAGTTGAGGTCACCAATCACACCCGCGGTGGGCGTAGGGAGCAATCGCACGCCTTTGTCACTCAGAAATCCCACCGTCAATCTCTTCCGCTCTTTATGATATCCGCCGCTGGATGGAGGTCTCCCTCTCCACGCCGCGTATTTCCCCACTCTGGTCGGCGCAGGTTGGGAGGTTGGGTGAGCCGGGGTCGCTGGGCCAGTTCAGATATCCGCTTGCCACCGACGTTAGCTGGGGCAAAGAATCGAAATCATCGCCGAGCTCGGAGCAGACGCAGCGTGCCAACCGCTGCACCCACTGGCGGAGCCAGTGGGGGGGGTGATCCGATCGAAATCCCTCATTTCGATCGTATCATTGGGGTTTATTAGTAATAAATCGGCATTTTCTGACCCCCACTGCCACTGTGAAGCATGTTATTATGTGCCAGGGACTCGATGAGACGATAGGACGATAGTCTGAGTCCATAATTGGCAATAAGTAACGGCAAAGCAGTTATAAGTGACTCAGAATTGTGCCCAGTTGCGTATACAGTACACAACTTCCCTGAAGGCATCAACACCTTCAGCAAGCGCGATGCCGATCACACAACGCGGTTTGAATTCGACCCTCGATCGATGGCTCTGCCATCGCCGCACACGCGTCGAATAGAAAGCAAGGGACAAGTCCTTACTTACTAACAACTCCTACCATTCCCCCCCCCCTCCCCACCTGAAAATCCTGGCTCCGCCATTGGCTGCACCACCGCTAGCTTTACTCTGAGTACTTTACTAATAGTAATAATATCATTCCTCCCGTGTGGTTTGTGCAGATTCGTTTTCTCCACTCGCCAAAAAATATATAACTTCGGAAAATAATTGACGAGCGGCCGGCCAGTCGGTCGGGCTGGAGGGGTAGCGCAGGGCGGCCAGCGTACCGTAACTCGGAGCCCGGGAGAGCCCGAGTTCGATTCCCGGCCGCAGCCAACGTCAGTGGCGATTATCTGAACCAGTCCCGCGCCATCTCCCTGCTCTGCCAGCCAACCCGCATTGACCAGCGCGGCGAAGTTGTGGTCGAACAACCTCCGTGACTGATACAGCGCGGGGACACCTCCGACCGCTCAGTGGCTTGGCGGAAGAGCTGTAAATGGGGACTGCCATCTCTCGGCGTACTTAGCGGCAGGAATTATAGCATGGGAAGTAGAATGTCGTTGCTAGGCCAGAAGAGGGTGGGAGTTGCATGCAGACTATTGAGTGGTGTATTCGACGAAACAAACGTCGTGAGAATTTTATTGTGTTATTTTATTATTTTATTCTCATTCTCCGTGACTTTACCGAAAGAACCAAAGAGGATTAAACAAAAACTGTTATTTATTTTACGAGGTAAGGCCCACTGAGCTGTGTAGCTCTTTATCAAAAGGGACCTGGCCACAAACGATAGCCCAACGAAGTGGCTTATCACGTGGACATTTATAGAAGCCAAATACTCAAGGCATATGGTTATAAAATGTGGAGGGAAAAAATCCACGCGACCACGGGGAGAGAGACACGCAAACTCCAAATATACAGCAGCAGGCGTCAGGGTCAGGATCGAACCCACGACCTCCTGGCTACCAGGCGAGGTAGTTAACATCTTTAATTACGCAACTGGGTCCCGGGAAGAACATACAGGTTTCCCAAGACAGCAGCTGCCTCGACGTGAGGACAAGGCGGGGATGAAGCCAGCAGACGTGGCAATGCTGGCTGCGAGCAGACCGCAAACGACCGATCCGACGCACGGATGAGAGTTAAGACGATCGAATCGACGCGTCGTTAACTTTGTACCGGTGGCTAACACGGCGCCTTCGCTCCCCCCACCCTCGCTCCCCACACGCCTCCCTCCCGCTAGCACCGGCCGCCTCCGGACGACGATCGGCTGAGGCAGCAGGAGCAGGAGATCCGCAACCTGCGGTCGCAGCTGGCGATCCGTGACGCCCGCATCCGGCAGCTCGAACTCGAGCTCCGGAACCTGCACAACAGCGCGAGCCGTGCCGTCGTCCACCAGCACCAGCGGTACCAGCAGCAGCACCAGCAGCAGGCGCAGCAGCAGCACCAGCAGCAGGCGCAGCAGCAGCAGCAGCAGCAGCAGGCGCAGTTCCCGTTGGCCACCGTGGGGGCCCAAGTGGCTGCACCTCTCTTCTTGACGCCCGCCGACGCGTCGGCCCGGCACCCTGTCCTGGCGCGGTTTAACTCGGCGGCGTCGTCGCACTCCTCGGCGTGAGCCGAGAGCACGCCAGCCGGCAAGCGGGGGCACCGGCGACTGGTAACCGGGGGCACCGGCGACTGGTAACCGGGGGCACCGGCGACTGGTAACCGGGGGCACCGGCGACCGTCAACCCAGCGGCCGGCGCTTTTTTTGTGCTCGGATTTAATTGCACCCGGGTGGTCCCTTCGCCGGAGAATATTTAGTGGGTCGCCGGTTACCGGACAGCACCGACGAAGAATCGGGAAGGAATGGAATAAAAGATCGGGAGGCTCTTTCCCTGCAGTGGGAAGTTACGGGCTGACAACAACAACAGCAGCAGCAGCAGCAGCAATGGTAGACTGCAGACGCACGTGCCTGGCGGCCACGGCCGTACCGAGCGGCGTGCCGAATGTGGCGTGCCGGGCAAGCCCTGGTTCTGCTGTCCGGCGAAGGGAGCTCCGGCGGGTGAGGTAGAAGACTCCGTCTCAGGTTTTGCTTTTGTTTGTTTTCCCCCGCATTGCCTGCTGGGTGAGTCCAGCGTCTCAGCTCGGTGGTCGTCGCAGACACAGGGTCGGGCTGTCTACATCCCCACCCCCTTCCACCTCCTTCCCCGGCTTCCGCCACTCCCCTGATCATCACCAACTTTTAGACTTTGGGGAGGAGAAATCCGTTTAACATCCTTCCACGTGCCCCCCTCCTGCCCCCGCGTTGGCTGCTCCGGACCGACCACGAAGTCCTTGCTGGTTGCCTGGGAGAGTGGCCGACATTGGGCGGTTTGGGAACTGTGCGGCTCTGAGATCACGGAGGGAGGAGGTCTCTCAGTCTGCCTCGTCTGTCTCCGCCCACCCCCCCCCCTCCAGTCTCACTCCCCACCTCGTCTGTCTCACCCCTCCCCTCGTCACTTTTCACACGCAGCTTCTATCTAACGCAAACGCGCGCCGTGGTTCCCCCTCCCCCCCCCCCCCCCCGCACGCTCCGGGGGGGTCCCTCCGAGGGTGACGTTCGAGGCCGCCGCGGGCGGCCGCCCTTTGCCGCCCTTGCCCGGTGCGCCCCGTTGTGGTGGTGTTGGTGGTGGCGTTGGTGTGCTGGGGAGCAGCAGCGTAGCGGTTAGCGCTACCGGCCACCCGAGTTCGATCCCCGCTCACGGCCACCAACACCGATGGCGGATTATCTGAACCGGTCCCTGGGCGCCTCCCCCCCCCCCCCCCCCCCCTAGATCGACTCGGCCTCAAATGTGTGCCTGGTGCAGTGCGTAGTAAAACATCGCCACTGGGGAGACAAAGGCGGCCGGGCGTGGTGTTGGCCACCGACCCCTTCGTACGCCGTGCCGGCCTTTGCAGTTGCCCGCTAACAGCACTTGCCCCAACAGTCTGTCAAGTTTAAATACTGTATATGGGGGGGATCTTTGTCGTGGTGGTGACGGTAAGAATGTAAGTGATTCTGACGGCGGTGGTGTCATGGTGGAGATGATGGCGGTGAAGCTGGTGGAGACGATAATGATGATGGTGGTGTCTATTTTTTAGTTTTTATAATTTTTTATTCTCATTTTACCATGTGAGTGCCACTGTGGTACGTAGCTCTGTTGTTTGGCATAAGCGACATGGCCACAAATAATCGCTCAACAAAAGGGGATCATCACGTGGAAATGTATAGCAGGCAAAAAAATCCAAACGTGTGATGTTGATTCTAAATGTGGAGGGAAACAACCCGGGGGACCCGGAGAAAAATCCACGCGACCACGGGGAAAGACACGCAAACTCCAAATATACAGCAGCAGCAGAAGGCGTCAGGGTCGGGATCGAACCCACGACCTCCTGCACACCAGGCGAGGTAGTTAACATCTCCTAGCCACTGTGATGATGATGAGAGAGAGAGACACGCAAACTCCAAATATGCAGCAGCAGGCGTCAGGGACTGGATCGAACCCACGACCGCCTGTATACCAGGCGAGAGAGTTAACATCTCGCCACCACGGCAAACATGGTGGAGATGATACTGATCATGTTGCAGGTGGTGGTGGTGTCATAGTTGAATTGATGATTGTGTAGTTGGTGGAGATGATAAAGATGATCATCTAGGTGATGTTCTGGTGGCCTCGTGGTATAGATGATGATGATGATGGTGTGGGTGATGGTGACGGTGGGGCTCGCTTGCGGTCGCGGTGTGATGGTGATGATGGGTGATGCCGGTGTTAAGTGGCGGTTGTGCCATGGCCACCGACGCTTGTACAGCCCCAGGTCCGCCAGTCTTTTAACGCACGCCACGATCGAGGGAGGAGGCAGCGTACGCAGCCAGCCAGTGGGACGCTGTGGCAACGCGAGACTCCTCCTGCTTTTTTCCCAGCCGCTGGGGATTTCACACGACAAAAAAAAATCGTATGTATGAAATCTATGGCGGGCTGATGCGGGGCTCCTTGCGCCGGCAGTGAGAGTCGGCCGCTTGCACAATAGCAGAACGAGGGTTGTGGAGCTACGCACGAGCGGTCCAAATGATAATAACACGAGTGTATGTACCGTTGAACCTCTTTCGCGCCGTACGTAGCCAACCGTGAATAATCGGACTGGGACTTCTTTAGTGCCCTGTGAAGACTTACAAATTTCCCTTGGGCAGCTACCTCAACGAAAAAGATGATGATGCTTAGAGAAAACCAGGAACGGGTGATCGCGTTGGTTGAGCGATTTTTGCCGGAGCTCGCTGCGCTCTATCTCCCATCTCTCCCATCTCTCCCCTCTCTCCACGCGCTCGCTCTCTCTCGCTCTCTCCACCACAGCCACCGCCCCAACCCCCCGGAGGAATTCCGCTAGCCGGCCACTCGTATTGTATCGGCGAGAAATGAAAATATATTATTAACGAGCTCCACGGGAGAGGCAACGGCATTGGGCCCCCGTCTACTGTAACGCGACGGAGGGGCTCGGCCGGGAAACGGTCGCGACACGACGCCCTCCCTCCCCGTCCGTGTGCCACGCCACCTGAAGTTCAGGTGACAATTTCACGAGGGCACAAACGATTTAGCGCTGCCCACCTCCGTCGCTGCTCCACGCCGCCGTGGCAACCCATACGGTGTACCTCCTATTCTTGTACAGGGAGACGGAGTGTTAAACAAAAAAACGAAAAGTGTCTATGTGTTTGAGTTTCTCCCTTGTGATGTGACTTTGTAGGATGAACGTTGGGATTTTTAAAGGGGCACGGGGTGACCAATAAGGTCTGTAATAAATATAGGGCACTGATAAGGGGTTGATAGGTATGCTACTAGCACTGCCACCACGCCTGCCTTATTACAGAACGGACCAAAAAGAATGTTGTTACAGCAGCAAGGCAAATGTTTTGGTCGTGGGGTTTTAGTTTGAGCTGAGGGGTCGTGCTTACATGGCAAGGACATCTGGCACCCATTCTTTTTCAATATGTTCTCTCTCTTTTTTTAAGACCGAATTTATAATTATTTTTTCTCCATAAAATCCTTTCCTTTATCCATAATAGAGGGGGTTTTTTGGGTTAGATCGCGTAAATATATAAATGTTGTGTCGTTAGAACCCGCCACCACCCGACACAGCCAACTAGTAAGGGTTGTCACGTAAACAGAACGTGGCAATTCGTCACTAGTACAGCACACCGGTGATGATCACTGATGATGAAGCTAGTTGTAATTACTGGCAAAATGTCGTACTCAGTTTGTAAATGTTGTGGCTTGGCTCTCCAACACACCGGTGTAGTGCTGTACTAGTGACGAATTGCCCACGTTCTGTTGACGTGACAACTCTTACTAGTTGGCTGTGTCGGGTGGTGGCGGGTTCTAACGACACAACATTTATACATTTACGCGATTAAACCCCCAAAAAAACCTCTATTATGGATGATATTGGTCGCGAAAGCCTAACACGTGTTAAAACTCCTTTCCTTTATCTTCAACCGGGGGGCGAGACGGGAGTGGCACGATTAGCACGGTTGGCTACGTACGGCGCGAAAGAAGTTCAACGTACACACGTGCGTTGCCCGACGCTGAACGCACGAGTATTAAAAGAGTGCCGTTGACGGCGCTCTTCAACTTGTTGATTTAAGGTGTAAAAAAAAAGCACGGGTGAAATTATTTTCACACGAAGAAAATGAGGCGTTGTGGGGGGACACTACATCGGAAACCCATTTCTTTAGAGCCGCTTTCTGTGTGCCTAGTTTGCTGTCCTTCACCCGCACATCCCATGGGCACGGTTGACTACGTACGGCGCGAAAGAAGTCCAACGTACGGGCATACATACGAGGCAGGGGCAAAGATGTGCGTGTGTTGACATCACACGCGCGCTAACGCTCCGATTCCTATTCCCTTGGGCGATTAGCAATCGTAACAGACTCCTCCGTCGGAGAGACGCGTAAAATCCCCCACTCGGGGAACTCTCGCAAGACAGCAGTATTGGCACCTTGTGGCAGGCAATTGCAACCATATCTGCTGTCCCTGCGCTCGCTCATTGGGCCATTGCCTCCACAGCACTAGCCCAACTACTGTACACTCACATTTCTGTGATAAGGCGGCATTGGTAATGTTTTTTTAGCGGAGGGGTGGTGGTGGGTGGAGGGGTGTTCTTATTTCCGCTGAACTTGAGATTTGCTTTACGAAAATCTGCCTTTTGTTTGCCAGCTGCCTCCGCACGGTCCCTCGCTTTGCTCCCGGACCACGGATTGTTTCAGTGAGCGTCAGTGCCGGATTAAGCTAGTGCGGGGCCTATATCATATGTTATAAAGGGGTCCTAAATAAAATAAAAACACGTACATTTTTTTACTTGCATAGTAAAGTAATTTTCATTTGCTATACAGCCAGATAATACGACAAATCGCTAATCTTAAACACCCGGTCGTTCATAAAAGTTGAAGGCGGTATAGTACTATAGTAATAGAGCAAGTGCAGAATCACAGAACCGGAATTGATAGCTTGAAAGCATTTAGCGCGGGGCCCTTGAAAGTGCGGGGCCCGTAGCTACTACAACATATGTAGCTACTACATATGTAGTAGCTACTACACGTGTAGCTACTGTTGCTGCTGGGATAATCCGGCACTGGTTAGCGTGCATCACTGTCGCTTTAAAATAAAGGTTCCACGAGCTCCACTAAAAAATGACGCCGAGTTCACGCCCACTTCAGAATCAGAATCCGATGAGCTATAAAGCTGTTTGTTCACAGATGTCCAGACGGGTACGGGACAGAGAGTTACAATAACGAGCGATACAAAAAAAACACGTTAGGAGTGCAAAGTATCAGAATGTTGAATGAAATCGCACGAAAAATAAAACGAAACTATTTTTTTTATTTTACCAGGTAAGGCCCACTGAGCTGTTAGCTTCTTTTTTAGAAGCGACCCGGCCACAAATGATAGCAGCTCAACGGAAGTGGCTCATCACGTGGACATTGATCGCAGCTAAATAATCTAAACGCGTGTTTTTAAACGGGAAGGGAAAAACCGGAGGACCTGGAGAAAAAATGCACGCGACCACGGGGAGAGAGACACGCAAACTCCAAATATACAGCAGGTGTCCGGGTCGGGATGGAACCCCAGACCTCCTGCATACCGGGAGAGGAAAATAACATCACCTACATTCAGGGCCATACACCGACACGCAGTCTCAATGATTGTTCTCCATTTGTGCTTGGGTTCCCACCTTCAGAGGTACCAAAAAAACGAGACATATCACGGGAGGAAGACTTATATCACTGTTCTATGTACCGCGAAATGTGGAATACTACGCGTTAACGTTTCGTCTTGAGTGATGTGTCATTATGCAACCGGCGCTACTTTTAACATCCCAGGAAGACGTATATTTATTTTCTGGGACAACTACCTCAACAAGAGGACGACCCTGCATGGAGGGGGAAAAAAACAAAAACGCCTGGACAGGGTAGCAAAGCCGCTTGTGCTTCTGTAAGCAAACAGCTGTGGTCAGTCTTCAACTCGTCACTTCGGCTTAGGGAGGAAAGCAGATTGAAACGGGACATTTGTATTCCAGTTCCACGATTTCCCGGCGACACTCTGAAGATGCGCGTCCATCACGTGGTGGCTTTTTAAACCTTCGGGCAACACAGAACGTCGAAAACCGATGCGCGCGGCAAACCCCGCGGTGCGTCCCGCTG